TTATGATATGAATGCACTTTTTTTCTTTCCTTCTGTAAGTATTTATAGTTAGCCTAGGACTTGATTTAGTCCTTCTAAATATATATTCCCAGATTAAAAAAAAATACAAGTATGAATGTAACGGTATCTCAAGACTAATTACAGTCGAGGGCAATTGCTCACTAGACTATATTTCCTGAAAGAGAACAGATACTAAATCTTTATTGGAAGATAAATACATGCACAGATGCTGTGTTGGTCATTTTCCTCTTTGTTCTCAGATTCGTTTTTTGCCTTTCCCTATTTTGATTTGTTTTCACAGGGAAGTCGATTATGCTGGTTGCTTTGTATACTGCTCCTGGTTTAGCTGGGCCAGGAGGTACTAGGAGACTCAAAGGTGCAAGGAAGGGAGAAGCCAGGGTATTTTCTCTCTTGGTCATCTTGGGCTGTCCCCAGAGTAGCCATCACTTCACCATGGCTCCACTCCCAACACCTTCACTTCTTTGCAGGAGGTGTAATCATGGGTTGTACAGTTCCCGCCCAGTAATGGCCCAGGTATGGGGCTCTCAAATACACTTCATCCCATTTTCCCCTCCAGCTTTAGGGCTGTTAGCAATTTTATGCTATTGTTCATCTCTGGTTCCCTCACTATTTCTGTTTAATTTCTCGGCTTTCCCATCCCCTGTGTAACCAATTTCCTAAATTAAGTTCCTTTTATTGAAAGGACATTTAGTGGCTTATTTTTTTCCTGACTGACATAGATGATCTGATGGGTAAATGAAATAATTCCAAATCTAAGAACACGACAACAGAACAGCATAATATGTCTTCCATGATCAATCCAGCCACAGTACCTGATTAAATCCAGGGGCTGATGCTTGTACCACATTCCCCAGCGTGCCCAGCGCTCATATAACAGATGTCTGTTATTCTGAGGTCCGTGGGTTTTGATGGGCTGGCTACTCTTGTAGGCTCCCTGAAACAGATAAAACAGGATAAACCAATGTCCATTCTCTTAGTGAAATTTCAACTACATAGAAGTTGCTTTTGCTTTTTTCCCCCTTATAATTTAACAACTTAATTGAAAGCTTCAGAAATTGTAAACTTAAGGCCATCTCTGGAATGATGTAATACATGCTTTTATAGATCTCTATTTCATTGAAAATATTTTGATACTCCTTTAAAATCCTTTCTTAAATTCCATTTTTAAACCAATGAGATTTCTTTCACTAAAAGTAAACTAGACTTTAGGTTTCACTGTTTGGAACCTAAGGTCTTTTAATAAACACAAGTATCTTCACCATCATTGGGAGGAATTGTTATAATCGTAGTTCAGAAATTGAGTATTACTCTGCCTTCAGTAATGCTACCAGTATCGTCCCAATAAATTTAATAAAAACTAAAATAAATAAAATGTTAAAAAAAGTGATCCAGTCCCAGAAAGTATTTAATTGATAGAAACTAAGGAAGGGAGTAAGTGCTCATTTAAAATGTGTAAAAGGACTAAGTCACCAGTGCTAGCCATGTCTTTAAATTCCAAAGTCCTTAAAACTTACTTCGGAAACGTTATTCCAAAAATTAAAGCATGTTTCCAAATTCTTTATATTTCCCCCCTTTAAAATCTGGCATATGGGTTGCAATTTCACAAACATAGACTATATAGACCTTGTAGAGAAAAGTGTTCCCCCTGAAGGCTGATGCTTAGCTTTTATAGTTAAAAAAGAGGGCAACAGATATGGTGACTACATTTTCTGAACTAAAATGTAGGACACAGGATTTGATCAAGTCCCTCTCCTCACTCCAATGTGTGACTCTACTTTTATGAAAAGTTTGATGGAAATTTAAAACCAGTGGCATTATAGGCCTCAGTTTCCTTACCAAGGTGATAGGAATACAAATAAATATCAAAGACACAATTCAGAGAGGCTTCTGAGGGTCCACTTGGATAATCACTATAAAGTGCCAGGCATATAGGAAGCACAAAATCAATGTTAATTTTAGGTGTTTATTATATTGTGGCCATTGAAAAGTGCAAAACTATCATTTGAATGGTCCCAGATAACCAGGACTGTGAGTTCCTATGAAGAAAAAATACACCTTGAATCATGTTCTGCAGATGTCTCAAGGCTGCAATGGGAGAGACATATGGAACTCACCTCTGGCTTTCTAATGAAATAAGTTAATTAATTAGGTAGGAGTGGAAGTACACCTGAAGTGTAGTCCATACTTTTCTTCTCTAAGGTAGCCCAGGGTGTTTAAAGCCTTAAGATTGGAAGGTAAGGAGATGGAAGCAAAGGTTAAGTTTCTAAGTGTGAGACATTGACTTGGGAAAAGGTATGTTTGCTTGTAAAATTGGATGGAATTGTTAAGGGAGACCACCTGAGAATGAGTAGGTAATGGAAAGTGAACCAAAATCCCACCTCTCTTCTAATCGTTACTGATAATGTTTCTAAAATACATGACTTTCCTTCCTGGCCTCAGTGATCAGACATAAACACTTCCTGGGTTTTAGATGCTAAGCTTTAGAACCTCTAGTGTATCACTGTTCTAACTCTGCTTAATAACCTCAATCATCCATACTGTTCTGGGTTTACAGTAACGTAAGGTGGGCTGTATGAGAAAACTGACCAAAGTGATGACCTCACCCACTCATATATTTCCATCCCTTTCCAGAGAACCAGTACATGCAGTGATCCCCACCATCCCTATAATTGGTCCTTTCCTCCAACCAACATATTTTCCCTCTCTTCCACTCTCAATATCTTAGACAAACTCTTTCTCACATATATATCTCTTTTCATCTATTTCTTCTTTTTCATGCCAAATTCCCCCTGGAAACGTCTTTGTCTCCCCTTTGACCATCGTCTCTTTGTAAGTAAAACACACATTTCAAAGAGGAGAGAAAAATACGATACTGACACTAGCAACACTCCTGCATCAAGGAAGAAAGAGGCCACAGATTGTGAAGTGTCTTTAATTTAAATCAAAGTATAGAGTCCGAGCCATTGACTCCCTTTGCCTGTAAGTAAGCCTCATTTTTCTTTCTTCAAGTAGTAGCATTACAAATCAATAGAAAATCCCAATTCCATTTTATTCACTTTCTGCTTTCCTTTAGTTACTCATATTTCAACACTATTGTTTTCTACTCATTTTTTTTATGCATTCCAGATTTTAGTACTTCTACCAAATTATAAGAATGGGAAAATGACTATTATTTCCAACACATTCCAAATAGATTCCAAATTTCATGCAAGAAACTGTCAAATGAACTGTAAGAACACACATTAGTTACGTAAACCAATTACTTAAACAAAACAAAACGAACCTTCCTTTGGTTTAGAAGTTCTCCTAGCACCTACATTTGCCATGCTGAATACTTTACCATTTACTGACTGTCATACGTTATGTTGCATGGTGCTTAATATCCCTGATCCTTGTTTCTGCATCTCTAAAATGGAACTACTAATATCTATGGGAATTCTAATATCTAGTGCTCTAGGACTACTGTCAGGTTAATGGGAAAACACATGCACGAGGCTTGCTGAATGACGTACACTAAGAGCCTCTTATTATTATTCTACTTCCTACAATAGGTAGGTATACCATAATGAATAGAAGCATTGGAGTCTGGCTTCCTGGGCTCAAAACTGTACCTTTGATACTTAACCTTTCCATGTCTCAATGACCTATTTATAAAGCTGAGTTAATATTCGTTGTCCATCTCAAAGGGCTGTGGCAAGGATTAAACATTATTAAAATATAATACATATAAAACATTTAGCTCAGTGCCAAACAGGAAAGTGCTCAACACATTCTCTCTATATGAGTTGTATTGGAGTGGGAATTCCTCAAGTATAGGGATTATGTCTTGTGAGTCCTAGAGCTTTATAAACAGAAGGGTGACAGGTTCTGACAGTGCAGAAGTGAAATCTCTAAAGATTCCATTCTTATATTAAAATGCAAAATTCCCATAAAATGAATACAATGTGTGTGTGTGGGGGGGTGGGTGGGGGTGTTAAAACTGATTCAAATGTCATTCATGACTCAACAGGTAAAGCCCACCACAGCTTGGAGCAGGCTTTTCTGCTTAACGCTGGTAGACAGGTAATAATCTGGCAGAGAACGAAGCAGGTAATGGGGCTGTAGGTTTTGTGCGCATTTGTGTTAGATTTTCAAGCATTCCCAAAGCAGGAAGCTGCTCTGGTTGGGAGTGGTGTGGCTCCCAAATGGGTCAAGTATGGAGTTGGGTGCTGGAGTTGAGGGCAGCGCCCAGCATGGCTGAGGAATCCTTGGGCTCCTTTCAAGGCTGGGTTTCCTGATGTGGGCAAACAGTAGGCGCCAGTGCAGAGCCGCAGAACCGTAATGGGCTCTCAGAAAGGTCCAGGGCCAGTCCCTGGTTCAACCCTCCTGGGAAAGGGAAGCCAGGCTTAAATGAAAAACAAACAAAAAAAATGGGATCAAGTGTTGCACATGAAAAACACTTTTTATTTCAATGGAAATTATATTTCAAAATTACCTCATGTGGGGGAAAAGCTGCTATATATGAGCCATTGTTTATAAGTTTACAGATACCTGAAAAAGAGAAGAAAAAAAAATAGTCCTTAGGTTAGTTTAAATAAAGACTTCCCTCTAAATCAACGTACATATACTTTGGATAATAAGTTAATTTAAAAACTTAAAATAACCAAAATGACTCCCATAACCACCTCACCTATGAGGGCAGAGGTGTGTAAGAGACTGATACTAAGAGTATAATTGTGTTCTTACAACATCAATAAATGGAGATTTGCAAGGTGCTAAAATAGGATTTCACTTTGTCATATCACGAAATAGGGGCATTTTGATATTCACTCATTTGGAACCACATGAACCTAGAGCACTTTTTCTTTTTTTTTTTGGTCAAAACAAAATTTGGTCAAGGAAGCAAAGGAATTCCTCATTTCCCAAAATGTCTCCAAGGGATATTGGTATAAAGAAATCTTTGAATTATTTAACACTGAACCAGAGAGACATAAATAACAAGTTGATACTTCTTAAAATCTCCCTCTCAGTTACAGTGTAGTGAAATGGACACATTCATAAAGTCCTAATAAGACAAAATATTTAGAAAACCTTTCTGGGGAGCGATTTTTGTTGCAATATTTTTTATATTAGTAAAAAATGAGAAATAATTGTACATCTGAAATTGGGGACCCATTTAATTATGATGATATAATCAATTATGTTAGGTAAATAATTGTGATTTGATGAATGCTTATAATAGAATATTGTACAGTTATTTACAACAGTGTTTTCAGGCATTCTAAAAGGCTTCAGAAAATACTCATAACGGTAATTTAAGCAAGATAAAAAAATTGTAAACACTGCATGATTCTAATTATGATACACATATACTTATTCTGTACTCATATATAATAGTGACAATTGAATTTAAAGATTTAAATTTTTTTAAATATTCTTCTATGTTTATTGTATGTTCTATAAAGGGCAAGATATCTTCACAATCATTTAAATTGTGATATTTTTATTTTTAAAGACTACATAAGCACATAGTGCTATCATTTAGACACATTTTTAGTTTATTTTCTGTATTTATTTGTACTTCTTATTTAGAAAATTTTGTTTCAGTGTCAACATTTTCTTGTAGGGATTTAGTGTCTAAATTAACTATTTTGCCTGCTCAGTAATGAATGAATTATTAATCAGAGGAATGTTCCTCTTTAAAAAATGGCTGACTTGAAACAGTTCATTTTATTTATGTGGCACTCTATTTCAATGTAAATCAGTACAGACTTTTATTTTCAAGGTTTTAGGAGATGACTGACATTTGATCTCTTCAGCTGGCTTGTATTTTTCATCCTCACAATTAAAAAGCCAGCTTGTTTGATATATGTTATTTTTCTGCTGTGCTTATGTAAATTTTGCAATTCCTTTTAATTATTCTGGGTGAAACTTTCTCAATTTTCTTTTGTATCATAGATGGAATAGCATACTGCTAAATAGTCAAGCAACACAGAAATCTGAAAAGTTAAAATTAGCTGTTAATGTACCTTCCAGAGATAATCTCTCAAAAGTTTCATATATATCCTTCTAGATTTTTTTCTTTTTATGCATGTATGTTTAGGAAGTAGGATTACATTAGACTTATAGTTTTGTAATCTTTTTTCATTTATTAATTATAATGCCTTGTAGATAGATATCTTTCAATGTCATCTATAAAGAGGATTCAATCATTAATTTTCAATCACCATGAATTAGGGGCTGTATCACATACTCTCTATAATATATAGCATGAAATAGACGCTGAATAAATTTGAGTTAAGAGTGAATACACATCACATAATTTTTAATACATGTATTGTGTGGATGTAGCCTAACTTATTTGTCAGTCCCCAACGACGGGCAGTTAAAATAGTTCCAGTTTTACTCTATTACAAAGCTATAGTGAACAAATGTTTCCATATATTGTTATTCAGAAATCTGGCAATTTCTTTGGGATCAATTTCAATAAAATTTCTTTTCCACAGTGTTTGCACATTTCACATTTGGTTATAATGGCCGAATGCCGACAAGAGTTTGTTTTATTTTGTTTTGTTTTAGTCAAAGGCCAAAAAGTAGAATGTTTAGAGTTTGTGCTCAATATGTTATATATTCCTATTTAATGCATGAAGGCAAAGCTTGAAGTGTTAAATATTGCTGGGTAATGTTAGGAACTGCAAATTCTACTTTCTCTACACTTGTAATTCGTGTCCTTACCCACTTTGGATATTCCGTTTTCATATTTGGTGTGCTGCAGCATGTGATAGACTATTCTGCTACGAGTGGCATTGCTGAAAAAGGTGTCCTTATTGTTTATGATGAAGCTGTTAAGAGAACGAAATCGATTTTAATCTTCAAAGTAGAGCACAGAATCAGGCAACAGGAACAGCGTCCTGGGCAGCCACCCATCTGTTTTTCTCCTTTAAACTAATGCTTGTGAAGAGAAACCATCCTCTTTTACAAAAATCAATCAGCAGGGATAGAAAAATAAACATAAATAATACAGGGCATTATCAGATATTCACTTTAATATCTTTCAGTTTACAAGGAGGCCTAGATGTCCTCATATTTTTTGTTTAGCCTGGAACAAGAAGAGAATAGAGTTTCCACTGGCTCCCATACATTTTAATTAAGCCATGTGGTTCCAAATAGAACACATTGAAACTGATGTAATTCCCCATGCCACACTTTCCAAGCTAACTTATCTTGTTTACAGAACTTTAGCAATATAAAAAACAGCTGTCCCTTCCCCTTCATGCCCGATTCTGTCCCCATGTAGGAAGAGTTCCACGGAGGAACCATGAGAGAGTTAATGATGGGAAGAGCAGAAGGAATGATCCCAAGAGGAAGGGTCCATTTTAGGACTAACTATGATATACTGGGAGCCTAAAAAAATAAATAAATAAGGAAGCATCCTGGACGTCACTCAAGTTCTGACCATTCCTGCTTCCAGTTGCTTTATCTTTGTGAATGATAAACCACCATTTTTTCAGACAGTTAGGTCTTTTCTTATCCTTGCTTTCTCTTCACCATTGATATTCAAACAGTTGCCAAACTAAGTAACTTTTATAACTGAACTGCCTGCCTCTCTTGTACCCATCTTTTTCTGAGTCTCATTGCCTCTTGCCGAGATTACAAGAAGAATGTCCTAACTGGCCATGCAATTTCCCACCTGACTTTTAAAGTCCAGCTCTGACCCTTAGAGCACTCCTACTACTAACATGTCAGTAGCTCTCCATTAGGCATAATTACATTTCTATTTTCCTCGCAGCCTCTCTATTCTTGCATTTCAACCTTTCCTTAGTCTTATTTCCTATAGCAGTAGTTCCTCGTGTCTGCTAGTCTATCAAACTGTAGAACTTATCATCACCTTGGAATCCCATGCTGTTTTCCTTGAGATTTTGCTCTGTCTCTGATGTCTGTGTCCCCATCTCTTCCCACCATCCTCCACATTTTTACCTGCTGAAAAGGACTAGCTCCTTCATGAAGGTTTCCTGGCTCCTCTCCTCTGGAGGTAGCTTCTCTTTCTCTGATAAAAATGTGCATTTTTACTTGTATCTTTCCTGAAGCATTGACTTTACTCAGCCTCATATTATGGTAATTTGTATACCTGTCCATTTTATTAGACTCCGAGTTCCTCCAGTATTCTCATATAATGCTTTTTAGTTTTGTACTTGGATGCACCAAGTTAACAGGTCTGTGTCCTGTTAACTATAAGTATAGAAAAGTATGTCCACCAATTCTTTTACCATCAATTGATTCAGAAATTGCTGAACAAATATTTCTTTAGCAGGTGAATTCCTTCTTTTATGGAGTTATATTACAAAAGAAGGTAACATGATATATAAATAAACAAATTGGTTACATAATTTCAGAAACTGCTCTGAAGAACAAGGACACAGCACAGTGCATAGAGAATGACGGGAACAAGGGGACTAGAGTTGGTGATGTTTGAGTGGGAGAACATCATAAGAAGGGCTGAGCCATGTAAAGATCTGGGGGGAGGGGCAGATTAGGAAAAGCGAACAGCAAGAACAAAGATTTGGAGATAGAATTAAGACTGAGCTTTTGATGGATAGAACCAAAGCTTGTGTGCCTAAAGCAAGTAAATGGTGTGGAAAATGGTGGAAGATCAGAAGATAGTGTTGGGCAGGGACCGTAGCATTATGGCCACATGGTAGATGATAAGAAATTTGAATTTTATTATAAGTGCAAATGGCAGGCCATTGCGGAGATTTAAGCAAGATGGTTGCATGATATGCTTGAGAGATTTTTTCAAAGATCACTCTAGTACCTTGGGTTCAAATAGAAAAAGCAGAATGTATTTTATCTGCTGCATTATGGAGCCTGAAAAAGTACAGCAAGAAGCTAAAGAAGCATCCTCAAAACTGTAACCGCTCTTTAACCCAGGAAATCATGTGGATTTCCACTCCTGCCTCTACTGCCCATAGCTGGGATTTATAAAGACACTTTTAGAGCCACTTCTAAGACAAAATAATGACATGAATCAAATATTTGGAAGAAGAGGGTTTCTCGTTGATTACTGGCTTTGTCACAGGTTTGGTGGTCTGAAATTCCATGTCATCCTGTCTCTCACCTTCCTACATCCCAGAACGTGAGTCAACGCAGAATTCTGTATAGCCAAGTAGATCCTGCAGCTACAGGCCTATTGTATACTATATATTTCTCCATCTTTATGTTTACTCCATTTTATCTAAATATTAATTTACATTTCTGTCTGTCCCAGTAGACTGGGAGTACTGTGAAGGTAGGGACTGTGTCATAAACTCAATCTGTATCATGCGGAAACTCAATAAATACCAGTCGAATGAATAAATGCATAGAGATATGTTGGTAGACAGACAGATAGACACGCAACAAATTCTTACCTTAGTTTCATAAGTTTAAACTACAATGGATTAAACTAGCAAGTACAAATTAATTAATTATAAATATAATAATTAATTAGAACAATCCATTATTCAAGCATGTTATTTAATAGCAATTCTATTTTTATTATTATTATTACCACCATTCTTATTACTTTAACTGAATGACTTACTACCACAGCAATTATTTTGGAAGAGTTGGGAACAAGACTGTTAGTCCATGAGTTTAATTATTCATTACTTGAATATCTCTAAATCATAGTTGATCAAGAATTAATAATGTTCAGTGAGTGTTATTCATAAGTTAAGTTTATGTATTAACAAAATGATACATTCTCTGACTTATTTGACAAGCAACGGTACAGGTATTTTTATTCTATCAACCCCTCCCACGTAATAGAGGGCACCAAGGCAGGTAGTGGGAGAAAAGAGATGGGAACTCACTGGTGAATCCGTGCACGGCTGAAAGGGCCTGTATAACAGTCCGACTCCTCCAGTTCTGGAAAAGCTGACTTGTCGAGAACCATTGGGTTTTGGGACATCCATTTTTTGAGTCTTCTAAAATAGTTGTGTACACTGGAACAAAGTCACATTTTAGAGCTAGATTAGGTTGCATTCCAGAATCATGCCTACCTTCCACTGCCATTCCAAAAGAGTTCCAAAAAGACACTCACACCAACACACATGCATTATTCCTCCTGGAATTGAAAAGAAATCTGGATTAAAGAGTCAAAAAAACTTGGTTGGAGCACAAGTGCTACCAAAGGAACTGTGAAGACTGGGGGGTGAGGCTTGGGAGGTGGGGGGGCAGTGATAGTGGAGTCTTTGATTTTCCCTGATCTGCAAACCAAGTAACTCTTTGTTCTGCCTCCCTGAAGGGTCATTTTGAAGAGGCCCTGATAATTGAATGTGAAAGTGTATAGCAAACACATGATAAATAGCAGCAATAATAAAATTATAGCCATTTCCTATCAACCTGCCTAGAGAAATGATGATCTTCAAATGCTGGATAATAGCCTGTACGTTAATTATCCCCTAATGTTAATTGGTCAAAAATTCTCTTGCACGAAACATCTTTCCCCCTTCAAGAAAGAAAAAGCACAAGTGAAATCTAAGTGCACATAATTGATTTTTGTTTCCCTCTTTCCAATTATCTACAAATTGGGTTTTGTAATTTTATAACAATGATGAACACACACACACACACACACACACACACACACACACACACACACTTAAATTTCTACTCCAAAAGTTAAAAAAAAAACCCAAAAAACAAAATTAGTCATTTCTTTTAATTGAAAGTCTAAATTTAAATTCAGCAAATAACATGGCATTCTTTTTTTTCAGTTTGATATGTCACATACTTTCATAAATGCCTTTCCTATTTATTCTCTACCCTTCTGGTATTCATCCAAAGTAAAGGAACAAAGAGAATATTTGTAGTAAGTAAATTGTAAAGATGTCAAGTATAGTAACGTTTAATATATTTTAATAATCATTTGGAATAAATTATAACTGAATTTTTGTTTCATAAAATTAAACAGAAAATAATAAACCCAAAAGATAAAACATTATGACAACATAGTGTTCATTTTTCTAGTTTACTTTAAGTTTGAGAACAAAATAGAAAAAAATGAATATTTTTCCCACTATTAAAAATGTTGTTTCAGGGCCGGCCGAGTGGCATGTTGGTTAAGAGCTGGCTTGGGACGCAAGCTCTGAGCAGCAGGGGCCTGGTTCAGATTCCACATGAGGGCCAGTGACACTGCGCCCTCTACAGCTAAGATGGTGAACAACGGCTCAACCTGGAACTGGGCAGCCGTGAGTCGCCAGGGACGTCGTAGGCTGCAGCGCCTGCTGCAGTGAGTTGCTATAAGCTACTGTGTGTGGCTGGCAGCCAGTGTGAGCGGCTGGCAGCCGGTGTGAGCTGTCAAGAGCCTCCGTGAGCGGCTGCCCAGAGGCCAGCGACCGATCTGCTTCACCTGGGAAGAGCGCAATGATAATACCAACATGGGCCAGTGAAGCAACGTCCTCCACAACTAAACTGAAGAACAAAAGGACAGCAACTTGTCTGTTCCCATCCCCCAATTCCCCAATAAAATCTTTAAAAAAAATAAAAGGTTGTTTCATTAGGATTTAACACAGACATGTTTATTAGACATTCTAGACACAAGTTCATTCTAAAACTAGATTTTGACAGTATTACATAAAGATGTTTGTTTCTATTATTTATTTATTTATTTTTATTTTTTTTATAGCTGAGCCATCCTGCCACCTGTTGGCAGCTCAGCGGCAGCTCAGCCAGGGCAGGGGCTCGAACCACTGTTGCTCAGAGCTCGCACTCTTGAGTGAACTCTTAACCCACTGAGCCCCTCAGCCGGCCCCGTTTGTTTCTATTTTAATATACAGGATTTTATCCTTCTGCAAGCCTCTGAAAGAAAGATACCTGTTTATCAGAAATCCCACTAATCATACAGTAGCAAAATCTCAGCAATTCTATAGAGCACATGGAAGGAACTCAGACATTTTTCAACACCTCCAACATTAAGTAGGCACATGCAAAAAAAAAAAAGAGAGAAAAACCTGCAGTTGTAAATGTATATATTCCAACATTCCAATGACTTGACTTTATTATGCAAACTAACTTTGGACACTTGCTCCCTAGACCAGGACCAAATAGGCACAAGGATAGTGATGAAAGCACATTCTAAATCTAAGCATACTAACCTGACAACAGAAAAACCAGACCTGGCTGAAGGGCATCACTAATCTATTTTTTTAAAAGAGCCATTTGAGTACTAATCCCTTTAACATTTGTTTTAATATCAAGTTTCCCCCTCCCATGATTTACTTGTCACCCATTCCTAAAACACCTAAATTTAATGTTTAAGAGAGGCCAATATTCTCCTATTCTACAATTCAAATTTTTCCTACTCTAAAGTTCTAAATTATATACTTGGTAAAGGAACTAGACTTACTCCATTCCTAAAATGGCATGATATTTACACCACATGATTCTTCTAGTTTTCGTGACTTGTAATATCCTGCAACATTATTCAATAGGACATACTCTTATCACATTCACAATTTTTTTGTTAACTGTTATTTTGCAATGTGCAGAAAAACAGCCACACTTTGTTTCAGTGTTCACTAAAAGGAAGCTTATTTCCTTCAGTGAAACAGGCCTAGGGTGATTCAGGTGGGAGTTTCTTCTATATCAGGGTTGTGGTTTAATTCCTTTGTCATAGCTATTGCTACCAAAACAGGTAAAGGGATATTCTTTTGAGATGAAGCTCTTAAAAAGAAGTTTATTTTCAATACTAGATAAGAGAGGCAGCTTCAGTTATGAAATAAGAGTAGGTCTGTGATTCAAAAGATTCTGTATGGCACCTCATCACTCTGGGGGCCACTCTTTCCTTCAACACCTCTGCAAATAAGAGATTTGGATCGAATGATCCAGAGGGTCTCCGTTGGGTCTGTTGTTCTATTACTTTACTGGGTCATCATTTACTCATCAATCCTGGGTTTCTAACTATTTTTAAAATTAATATCTCCTAAAATGCTAACTTGCAATTAAGACCCTCCTTCCCGAACATTATATCAAGTGATGATTTCAGGAATGTCACTGGTCCATAGACAAAAGAGAGTCTTTGATTTTTAAAGACTGCTAAATGTGGCACACGTCATTTTTGGAATCTCTGGAACAAATCCAAGTTTTTTCCCCCCTGAAATTTACAACTGCTCATAAGGATCATTGGATGTCTTCCTATTTTTTTCCCCCAAAGGACGAATGGGTCATAAACAAATCATGCATCACACACCAACCTGCCCATTGGTTTGTTCCTCCCGTCAGTGTAGTATGATTTTTTCCTGAAAAATAACAGAAATCAGCTGAGGAAAGTTACACGAAAATCGTGAACCCAGTGAGTGACGACATTTAATCATACTGAGCATTTCAATACTCCATCTTCCACATGTTTAAGAAAGACATGAAATCAGCCAGCATAACAAAAAGAACTCTGAATTTCCATTGTTTCAATTTCAGAGTCTAAGTTACTAGTAATAAAAAAAAACACACTTTCAAAAATCAATAAATCACTTGAATATCTGATTTTTAATCCTATTTTTGGAAAGTCTCACTTCTGCTACACAATGCATAGTAACCAGATAATTTGCTTATTTGTTATCTGAAGTCATCCATCCATCCATTCAAACACATATGTAATGAATATTTCTGATTTTGCAAGGAATATTATGGTATTACCAATAAAATATTTAGAAAACAAAGAGTGTCTCTACCCTCCAAGGGCTTCCTTTATAGTTGAGGCAACCATAGATAGTTATAATGAAGTGTGACAATGCAGGAAAACAGAGGGTGTTCTGGAAGTGCCTAGGAAGGGCCCTCGATTGGTGTTTGTAGATGGAGGAGAAAGGAGCAGGGAAGCCTTCCCACAAGGTGTGTTATCTGTGCTGAATCTTGAAGCATGAGTGGGAGTAGTCCTCTGAACGAAGTACTCAGGACATGGCATTCGAGACTGAGGTAGCAGCATATGAAACGGTTATGGGAGCAAGATCAAGCCTTGTACGATTCAGGGAAGCGCAACTAATTTGAAAGTCACTGGAGTATAAACTGCAAGTTGAGGATAGCGAGAAAAGAGGCGGGGCATAGTGAACAAGGCGCAGAGGTGAGGGGTCTTACCCCCAGTGCTGAGGTTCTGGATGAAAAGCAGTGCAAAGATATTGTTTTAAGTGGTTGTGTAGCATGTCTGATTTTAGAGAAACTAAAAAATTCTAATGACAGGGGTGAATTAATTCCTAAAAAGACTCTCACTACATACTCATCTTTTAGATTCTGAGCCTTCTAAAATTTGTCTGTGTCCCCACTCATCAATACCCATTTCAGAGAATCAATCAGTAAACTTTTCCAAGGTGTAGGATCTGGAAAACAGGGCTAAGGGTCATGACAATTGATGTATAGCTGTAGCTGTATTATTAACTGTTTAGAAAACTTTAAAAATCTTCTGAGCTACCATATTTCTTTGGAATCACCGGTTTATATTACTAGAAAATAATTTTTAGATTGTCTCTGCCAAACCCCAACACTAAATTCAAATATGAAATATCAAGGCTTGCTATGTCTATTCCAACTCACGCGTTGAATATCTTCCCCCTTCATTTTCTCAAACATACACACATTTGTGTACACACATCATTCAACCCCCATCAGACTAAACGCATCCTCACTCTGAACCTGCTCTCCATGGACTGACTGTCTTACACTATTTACCCCATCGCTATGTAACTGTTCCCTGACTATCTCCTGTATGACACTGGGCTTCTGGGAGACAGTAGTTGTACTTCATTTCATTTTGTATGCCTCGTGTGTACTTGGAACATTGCTTGATAAACAATAAGCACTCAGATGACTGATGAGTACATGTGTGAGCCTCCATTTAATTCATAGTTATTATCTCCTTCTGTGCCTGAGACCACTTTGCATTTAATAAACATTTGCTAATAAGGTATCATTTAAACAACAACTACAAATGTACAAATTAGTTTAAAATAATTTTCAGCATCAAAAAAATCTAAGAATGTGATTGAAAAGAGTTGAAGTTTAGAGTTATAATTGGCCATGGATATGAAAAGGAATATTATAAAAGCACAGGGCATTTGGATTAAACACTGTTCTCTATCTTTACTGCTGCTAGGTTGAAATATTTCTCTTAAAGAATCTTTTTAAAATCCTTTGGGAGAAATTTAAAAAAAAATAAGGAAAGTCATACAAGATGAATATACATACTTTTCAGACCACTTATATTGTAAGAGCAAATCAAACTTAAAATAAGAGATTCAGTTTTCCCAATTAACTAACATCCCAATTAACAATCAAATCTAAGATGAACTATGAGCAACAATTAGTGGAGTCGAGCCTTCTGACTTGAGGACTGGTTATTGTTTATCCTGAGGACATGTCTGTAGTGAGTTGTTATCTGTTTGGCTACGGAAAAGGATAAGATTTGGTATGTCTTAGCAATCTCTTAGCAAATTGCCTGTGATGTACATCACATTCTGGTTTGATGCTTATTCAATAATAAAAGTGTTTTCTTTCTCTTCTACCTTTGTGGAACAGTTTCTGGGTTGGAGAAGATTTTGTTTTTAACTATATACCCCCAGCAATACATAAATATACACTGAAGTCAATAATAACCTGCAATTCTCCTTAGTTTTGTATATAAATGAACCTGCAGAACCAAATCATTTCCTACGCACAATCCTCCACCCTGTAATTTATTAACTGTGTATTGTTCACTTAAAAAAGCTTTCTTTAAATTTGCCTTAACTTTTCTTTTGAAAGATTCTGCTATTTCATACCTTGCAATGGGACAAGACTTATCTAGCTACCTACCCACTCACCTATTACAACCACCACTCAAAATTATAAGTAAATAATCATCTGAATACTGTTTCCAACCAATGTTTCACATGGCCAAGTGGCCACATGGGTGGAGATGTCTGCGGGGCCAAATGAGGAAGGCAGTCACATGGAAGGGACATGGGTCCCCTGTCTTTGTCAGGCAGAGCTACTCCACTTTTATCTATTCTGTATAATGGCATCCCTGTATGTTTTTAGGTTATTTTATTTTTGAGTGAGATATCCTTTGCATAAAAACTGATCTAAGTTGAATCCTAATTGTGATAAAAAGACTGCTCTTAATGTTTGGAAAGCATGCCCCCAAACTTGCTATGTTTAAAGTATTTGTGAGAGAAGAAGCTTGAGTGAAGATGGGACGTTGACCCCATTGTGGGACTCAATCTGAGAAGCTACAGAATGATTGAATCTTCCTAAAGTAAGTTTGAGCTTTATAATGTGAAAGAATAAATAGTAAAAACCTTTGAATCAAAAGAAAAATAATGAAAGCGCGACCTGATATTTTTGGAATACAGAGGACACAGGTTAAAAACTAGATTGGATAAAAACTAGAACATGTGGGTTATTTTAATTCTCCAAAATTTTCTTGGTTAGTTTTGAAACATCAAGTCCAACATGTAGGCCACATTTACTTTGGAAGAATAAGCAAAAAAAGAAATAGCTAGAAAATATGGGTATATAAAATTCTGCATATATATTCAAGCAAAAAATTTAGAGAAAATGCTCAAGATTCCCATTCATACAATAACTTAGCAGAAAACTTCTGCAGGCAGCGTTACAACACTAATATTTTCTCTGAATAAATTTGCAGCTTTTCTTTGTGGAACGTAATGTGTAGGTTTCAACACTGAATAAATGCGTGTATTAGTCGAACATGGGTAAATATTTTATGCATAAACCTTTTAAAAATCTTGTCCTAAAAAGAGATATACACGTTTCCTATTTAAGTTCTTTGTCATTCTTATGTATTTTAAGGCAGTATATATGTTCTTAAATATGATAACAGTTGATAATTGGAAACTGAAATGGCCATCATGAAAACATGTTGCCACTTAGGTTACGCTTGAATAGCATTCTCTTTTTATGAGCTGACAGCTATCCCAAATTTCAGATGTATCTTATAAATAAATGAGAAGTTAGTAAGCAAGGAGTTAGTTAATGCTGTATCTATTATTTAAAGTGATCTGAAAAGATGTTCCTGAAGAACTCTCTGTTCTAGCATTCCTCAAACTGTGTTTCCCAAGAACACCACCATATTAAGATTTTTTTGAAAAAATCCATTATCAGATGGAAATTTGGGAAATGGTGCTCTTTGTAACAGCCTCTTAAAATTGATAAAAATTAATAGAAATATTAAAATCTCAAAATCTCCAAGGCTGTATTTCTTTATCATCTACATTAGAATCATTTGGGATGATTGTTACAAATGTATATAACCAGTCTTATCCCAGACCTAATATGCCCAACTCCCTGGGTGTAGGTTCCAGGAACCTTCATTTTCACAGAATTTCCCAGGTGATTTTGATGCACTCTACAAACTGACAATGAGAACCACTTCTCTAAAACTTTCTACACTAAAGAAACATATTGTTTACCACAGAAATTCAGAAGCATATTTGGTTATAGGATATTGTTCTCTTAAGATCCTCATCCACTGATAGACTTTGGAAAACGTTGCATATTTTCTAATATTTTATTATTAAATCATGATAATTTGTGTCATTTTCCAAAAGCTTCAGAATTCAGCAATTATACACATTATTTTGAAAAACATGTTATAAAGAAGAAATTTCAGCTCCAACATCCATAAGAAGAGGTAGTAACTGCATAGGTTTCAAGGTTTTTCTATTTGTTTCTTTAGATGCGTCACAACTCTTTTTTTAAAATGCAACCTTATCAGGAAATATAAAATGAATATCATTTTAAAAGGCAAGAATGTCTGACTGAAGTGAACATCTTTTGATGTTTTGAACCCACCCTGAGTCAGAAAGACACCATGGCACATAGCCTGCGATCTAAACTCTCATTCACAGAAACTGAGGACACTCACATACTGGCAAAGGGACTGTTTTTAATTAACTTCTATGAAAAAGAAACAAAGGAATTAAATTTAGTACTGATTTAAAAAAAATAAAGTTATGAGAGTACTGATTATTCTATCACGAGGAGTTCCTTGAAATTTATTTGAAAAGGCAAGAGTAAAGGACATTACAGATATGAGGCCAATGTGCTCCAAATACACATTCAATTTTTAAAAATTAGTCAACTCCCACTGAGATGGTGGAAAGAGGTACCGTATTTCCCCATGTATAAGACGCACCCTTTTTTGAAAAATTTGGGGTCTAAAAACTGGGCGCATCTTATACAGTGGTTGTATGAGCGCAAAAACAAGTGCAAAAGAAGTGGGAAACGCAAGTAAAAAAAAATCTACAACTACTGTATAAGACGCACCCAGTTTTTAGACCCCAAATTTTTCAAAAAAGGATGCTTCTTATACATGGGGAAATACGGTATATGAAAATTATCACACTGTAGACTGTGTTGCCATTGTCTTTATAAGGCTTTTTCCCCATAGACTACAGCAGAATGAACATACTTCGAATTGATAGAGAAAGCAGGAATACCTCTAAAATTATGCATGTGAGATACTGGAGGTAAAGCAAACGTGTTAACTGACGTATTCATAATTTGCTCTTTAAGTATAACTCAGTCTTAAAATAAGTGTCTTTGCCAGGAGCAAAGTCAAATTATGCTAAATCTCTCCCAGAAGAGCAAAAAAAGGAGCCAATCTACTGGACTGCTGGCAGACATTTGTGTCATCAAGTTCAGAAGAGGCAGGTGGCAGATATGCTCCCTTTTTGATAAGATGTTTTCACAAAATGTTCCCTCAGTCTGAACTGAACCTGGACACTGATGCCCACTGAAATGGCATGCTTGGTGAGAAACTCTAAGGTTTCCTCCTTTTAGAGCTACAAGGTGATTCGTTTGTGCATGAATTAAATAACTTTTTTTTTAGAAACAATTGTGAGATGACAAGAATAGAGCAAGATGGGGGTACCTAAAATTAGTTAGGATTTATTTGGAAAAATCTTTTAGCAATTTCCTCCTGCCATCAGAAAGTAGGTCATGGTCTTACATCTTTTGCATAAAAGTGTCATACTTCTTTTGCATCCTGTATTTACATAATAGTAAAATTAGAATTTGTTAAAAATACGTAATTGTGTAGGAACATAAAAAAAATAGGTACTTTATAATCCCACCCATCATTTTTAGCATATTATATTTTCTCTAATTTTATTCCTATGCATTTTATGTTGTTGAAATTACATTGTATGAATAATTTTTATCATATGTATTATATAAATTTTATTATTAAGAATTTTCCTACAATCATTAAGAAAGCCTTCTACCCACGCCTTTGATAAATGAATTATATTACATTGCAAGGGTATATTCTAATTTACTTAAATTCTCTACTCTGGAACATAAAATAATTTCCTTTTCCCACGATTATAAATAATACTTCAGGGAATGTTTCTACACATTTTTTAATTATCTTCTTAAAAAGTGAAGGCCATGAAAAGTTTTAAGGCTCGCAGAAAATATTTTCAAATTGAGTTTCAGAAAATCTTGTGAAATTTGACTTCCACCTTAAACAAAGGTGACTATTTAGCATATCTGTGCTAAGTTTGAATATTATTACTTGTAAACTTCTTCGCTAATTTCATAGGTTAGAATATATCTTACTGTTTTAATTCTGCATGATTTTCTGTAGCATGAATATGTACAGACCAAACAAGAAGAAATCAGAGCAAATGGCAAGTATTAGCCCATTATCAGCCTGTAACGAGTCCCAGGCAAGTATTTCAAAAGACTTCTTTTAAGACAGAGTCAACAGGGAAAAATTCCTCAGGAGTCAAGAAATGTGTGGTACAAGTGTATACTTACCTAGCTGTCCTTTCGTGATTAGTTCAGTATAATGACATGAATTGAAAGTGTCCTATGTAGCCTTCAACCTATCTAATCATAACACAAATAATGTCCCATAGGCCCTTCTTTCAGGGACCAAGTTTCATAAAAATGTACAAACTTTAGGTTCTCAGGCATCTTATTTGTCATTTGCATAAAATGCTGCATAATTAAAAGATTTTTTTATCATCTTTTGCTTTTTATTTTGTTATTATTGTTTGTTTTTTGTCAAGCTCTTAGAAGTATTATTTGCTTATCTTCTAAATGTCACCTGTATAGGGAACTTTTAAACCCTTAGCCAAGCATGAATGTGAGCCAATGTAGGTATCTAATTCTAATATTGCTAGTCAAATTCTGCTGTAGTTGCCAATGCTGAATCAATTTATGTTTTGTGGACCATTTCTATTTTTTGGGGATTGCATCTTTCAAAACCTGATATGTTCGCTGAAAAGATGGGGATCAATATCTCATACTTTATGTTGAATAACATAGAAGCTTGTCTTAAGGCTGACTTAAGGATGTCAGCTTGTCTTAATGCTGACACTCTACCAGAGTTAGCCTCTTTCATGCTACCAGGTATGAAAATTTTTCATATTTTTGCATTGTGCTCTTACTGTCCATTCATATTCATTATTTAGAGGCTCTTTTCCTTGGCATCTTGTTACTCTGATCCTTTTAAAACATTCTTAGCAGCTTGTAAAGCACATTGAGCTCGAAATAAGTGTAAATGTTCATATCTTCAATGCAAGTTAACACTCTGCACACAGTAGGGACACTACTGAATTTTATTTTGAGAAATGATGGATGAAGGTGGTACATTCTGCATGCAACACATGATATGCAATATAGGAAAACATGTCTATTTAATTTTTGCTTGTGTATAGGATGGACTGAGAAATCTTTGAATTGAGCAGGCTTCTCATTACCAATTTATCCTTTGATATTGAGGACACAGCTAAGAAACCATCTGGTTCAACTGCACCTGAGGAATGATTCTTGCTAAGCCCATATGGAGAAGAACACTGTGTTTATATACATAAGGATGCTACACACTCACACTTCCTGCCTTCCACAAAAACAATACCAATTCTAGCTACCCATGTGAAATAAGAAACAAGATTGATCTTGGTAATCATGTTGTCAGTTAAAATTTGAAAACAACTGTTTTTCCTCTCTCTCTAGAGGCAAGTCCACCTAGAAATGATAAAAAAAAAACATCCAGGGAACCACACGTTTACCACATTAAGCAAGCAAATTGGAAGGAAGACTACCTAACTTTTGGAAGAAAAAACATTTCCTCTGTAGAAATGTTTACATTTATTGCTCTAAGATTCTGCAAAAAACAAAATAAAACAAAACAAAACAAAAACCAGACTCATCTTAATATACATTGAGATAGAATGAAATAAAAATTAAAAGTACCTGAAGGGCATCCTGATATTCAGCCTCTCTGCATACTTGCACAGCGTGTCCCATGGAATGTGAATTTTAATAAACATGATATCAGCATTTGCAACAGCTGGCTGCAAAGGACAGCAGGACAGGTGCCATTATTTAGAATCAGAGCTGATGATATCACATGACAATTTGATTCGAGAGGAAAGAACATTGTCCCCTTGTCTACACATAAATCATTGAAATTGATTTAAAATGAACTTACATGACTAAAATTTCTTAACATATAAAAACCTTAATAAAACTGTCATAAGGACATCATATACAAGAAATAATCATGTATATGAGTTAATGCATTTTCTTATATTGGTTGTTATTGAGATCCAAATCCCCAGTAAGAAAAATTATGCACCAAGCAGGAATCTAAAATTATTCTTGTTGGACACTTTATCATGATCCTCTCATTCCTGCTCACAAGGGATAGACAGTTGTCACTGTTTTTTCATTAACTCATTTACTTATTCTTTTAGCATATTTCACTGAGTGATTACTACTTGCTAAGTACTATAAAATCTTAGGAAAAAAACAGAGTATAAATCATACAATTCCATTACCTTACAGAGCTGTCAAGTCTGCATACTTACTCTGTCTAGTCTACTTTTTCCTGTATCAATATATCATAAATATGTTTGTGTCTTTGATCTATACTAGAGGTTTTTAAGCAGAGTCACATATGCATCAGAACCATATAGAAAGCTTTGAACAAAATTGTGTGCCTTGGTCTATCTAATTCTCAAGAATTACCTGAATTGGATGCAGAAATCTTCAATAAAATATTAATAAATAGAATCCAACAATGTATGAAAATAATTATATACCACAACAAACTGGGATTCATCCCAAATATATGTCTGGTTCAACATTCAAAATCAATTAACATAATTCATCCCATCAACAGGCTAAAAAGGAAAAATCATATGAACATACTAATACATAAAAGCACTTGACAAAATCTAACCCTATTGATGATAAAAACTCTCAGTAAACTAGGAAAAAAGGTGAACTTCCTCAACTTGATAGAGAATATCTATAAATAACCTACAGCTAACATCATACTTAAAGGTGAGAGCTTAGAATCTTTGCCACTATGACCAGGAACAAGACAAGAATGTCCCCTGTCTCCACTCCTTTTCAATATCACACTGGAAGTACTAGCTATACATTCTGACACAAAAAGGGCATACATAGTATATAGATTGGTAATGAAGAAATAAAACTGTCTTTGTTCACAGATGACATGATCATTATGTAGAAAATTCAAATGGATAAGACATACACACACACACACACACACACACACACACTCCTGTAATAAGTAGCTAATAAGTAATTATAGCAGGGTTGCAGGATACAAGGTTAATATACCAAAGTCAATTGCTTCCCTATATACAAGCAACGAATGAATGGGATTTGAAATTACAAACACAATACCGTTTACATTAATAGAGCAAAGAACTAAATACTTAGGTATAAATCTAAGAAAATTTGCCCAAGATCTATATGAGGAAAACTATAAAACTCTGATGAACAAAATCAAAGACGATCTAAATAAATGGGAGATATTCCATGTTCATGGATAGGAGGGCTCAATATTATCAAGATGTCAGTTCCTCTCAAATTGATATACAGACTTAATGAAATGCTAATCAAAATTCCAACAAGTTATTTTGTGGATATTGGTAAACTGATTATAAAATTGATATGAGAGAAAAAAGGCTCAGAATGGACAACCCAATATTGCAGGAGAACAACAAAGTTAAAGGACTGACACTATCTGATTTTAAGGCTTATTCTAAAGCTACAGTAGTGGTATTACTGAATGAATATACTAGTTGATCAATCGAATAAGATAGTCCAGAAACAGGCCCACATATACCGGGGGTACCAAAAAATGTATACACATGACTTGTACTCATCTTTTGTTATCAATATATATTGAGTATTACAATTTTAATACAATTTTTTCCTTTCTTAAAATGTGTATACATTTTTTTAGCACCCTCTGTATATCAACTTGACTTTTATAAAAGTCAACCGATCTTTCACAAAAGAGCAAAGGTAATAAAATGAAGTAAAAACAGTCAATTAACGAATGGTGGTGGAACAACTGGACATCTACATGCAAAAAATCAATCTAGACACAAACCTTACACCATTTATAAAATTAAGTAAAAATGGATCACAGAAATAACTGTAAAATACAAACTTTAAACTCCTAGAAAAAAACAAGAGGAAACTGATATGATCTTGGGTATGGTGATGTGTTTTAAGATTCAATACCAACCACACAGCCCATGAATAAAATAATTATTACATTAGACTTCACTAAAATAAAAAACCGCTCTGAAAAAGACGAAGTCAAGAGAGCAAGAAGACAAGCCACAGACTGATAGAAAGTATTTACAAAAGATACACTGGATAAAGGAATGTTATACAAAATACACAACTCTTAAAACTCAATAATAAAAACAATTAAAAATTGTGTTAAAGATCTTAACAGACACCTTATCAAAAAAGACACATATGAGTATATGTAAACAAGCATATGAAAATTTGCTCCATATCATTTGTCATCAGGAAAATGAAAATTTAAAAAAATAAAATGAAATGTCATTACACACCTATTAGAATGGCCAATAGACAGGATACTGACAACAGCAAGTGTTGCCCAGGATGTGGAGCCAAGGAAATCTTACTCATTGCTGGTAGAAATGCAAAACAGTACAGCAATTTTGGAAGACAGTTTGGAGGTTTCTTAGAAAACTGAATATATTCTTACCATACCTTCCAGCAATCCAATCCTTGGTATTTACCCAAAGGAGTTAAAAACTTATGGCTACACAACACAGAGAAGGGTGTTTCTAGGCACTTTATTTATAATGGCCAAAACTTGTATGCAACCAATGTGTCCTTCAGGAGGTGAATGGATAATGGACTAGTATTCTGTACTAAAAAGAAATTATCTAAAATGAAAAGACATGAAGGAACCTTAAATGCATATTACTCAGCAAAAAATGCCAATCTGAGAAGGCTACATATTCTATGGTTCCACTATGTAACGTTCTGGAAAAGGCAAAACTATGGAGACAGTGGAAAGGCTGGGGGTGGTGGATAGATGAATAGGTGGAGCACAGAGAATTTTTGCAGCAGTAAGATATTCTATATGATACTATAATGTGGATACATGTGATTGTACATTAGTCCAAATTCACAGAATGTGCATCATCAAGAAAGACTGTGGACTCTGAATGATGATAATGTGTCAAGGTAGGTTCAGCAATAGTAACACGTGTACGACGCTGGTAGGAGATGTTGATCATGGGGGAGGCTATGCATGTGTGGGGGCAAAGGGTACATGGGAAATCTCTGCACCTTCATCTCAATTTTGCTGTGAAACTAAAACTGCTCTAAAAAAATAAAGTCTTTTTAAAAAGCATAGAAGAAAAAGGCCTGGGAAGAAAACCATCCATAGTTCCAGTATTAAAACCTAGACCTAAACAATTTGGCAAACTCTCTCTCTTCTTTCAATGTTTTGTTTTTCTTTTCATAGGGCTTTGTACTTTACATAGGTATAATCAATCATTCCTTATTTAAGTTTTAAAATTGTAAAAATAGCTATGCTCTTTGAAAAATATTTAAAGTTACAGAAATATATAGAGTAAAAATGGAATATATATTTAAATGGGTCTATACATATGCATTTCTTTCACATTTGGGAGAAAATAACTACACATTTTATAAAACCATGTGTTACCTACTTTCCATACTAAACATTAAGAGATCGTATCTCTTCCAGCATATTACATACTTAATATTATTAAGGCACCTACCTCCTTTTCCAACATCAAGCCTTCTGCTCTGAGATTCTTTTCAAATGTGTTTCTTTTGTCATATTGTATATTTGACTTTCTATAAACCAGGATGTAATCAATCCGCTTTTTGCCATCTTTGAATAGAAGTCCACTGGATGCTATGTAATTCATGTCATTCTGCAAATAAATCAATGATTGTTAATAGTTTGGGTTACACAAGGATACACATTTTGGTTTCAGTCACTTCTGTTTGGATACTGGCAATTCAATATCAAGAAATATATATTTTTAAAATCTAATTATTAGATAGGGAAAACTATTTTAAAAATTTGCAATCTATGGTAGGAGACAAGCTAGGAGGTAACATTCCAGAATTTGAAATTAGGCACTCTGATACCAGAACATGGGTTCTGTGATGTTGGCATCAAAATGCACATGTTTTATTCAGTAAGGCCCTATAAAAATAATATCGCTAACATATGTTGCATATTTACTCCACATCGGGCCCAGACATAAATGCTTTATATGTTTTATCATATTTAATACTCACAATTTGCATTGCAAAAATAAAGACACTAAGATTAAAACAGCATACGCAGAGCTAAAATCGCCATAATTTCCTATATTAAATAATATTCAGACAAGACATTATTTTCCTAAACTTATGTCCAATGACACCAAACCAAAGAATAATTCCTGAGCTGCTCATTCCAAAAACTTTGCTTTCAGGATATAAGACTGTGATCCAACTAAAACAGCTTCCTGATCAAGACTAACCCCTCAGATTGCTGTGCCCACCCACCCAGGTATTTTTCACAGACTCTGCCCAATTTTCAACCAAATTCCGGCCTTGCAAGACTTACCTTAAAATCCCCCAGGCCAGATCCTTGAACTCTTTGAAAACGTCACCTTTTTGAAACACTACTAAGGCTGCCTAGGTTGGTATCCTTCTTTGCTGTAATTTTAATAAAATCCGTTTTATTGATCAACAGCTTTTCCTGATGGTCTTTTTACAGGGTGCTTTCCCAGAGTTTTGCCCAAGATCACTGAAGAACCAGGACTTGAGTGCAATTTTGTCTCCAGGTCCATGTTCTCAGCTATTATATATGTTGGTCGTGCTCCACATTTTCCATCAAACTATTTGAACATCTGCACCAACTCTATATCCCATTTTTCCCATACAGGCATTCTTGAGATTCAGAAAATTTCCTAACATTTGAAGAGCTATCTGGTAATTTCTGACACAGGCATCTCAGACTTCTTTGTGGGAGCCTGCGTGGGACATGTATGCAGCTCAAGGTGAAAGAAGTGGGAATCGATAATTAAGTGGCCAAGGAGTCATCCAGGGGAAGTAACAAAAAAGATACCTGAGACTGTCATCTCACAGGCCCAGGTTAGGTTGCCTCAGGAACTCCGGCCTTTCAGAGACAACAGGTCCAAGTATGTGAATTCAGAGTAAGAGAGGCTTCCAGGCTCAGGGACAAGAAGGCTGGCATTGCACAGCCTTTCCCCAATGAAGGAAAAACAAACAAACAAAAAACCAAATTTCCTGGATTATTTCATTGCATAACACAAGGTGACAAGGAACCAACTCTAGTGGAGTAGCCAGCTGAAGTCTGATTAACGAGTGACAGTAGCCACCAAGCGTCATATTATTTTGGTGAATTTACCGAAGTTCTCAATAAGCAACATACCAAATTAGATCATGTCATTACTCTATTATAAGTGATAGCTGATTGATTATCTGTTAATCATAGTTTTGAGTTAGTAAAAGACAGTTTGACACATTGTTTAAGGTACTGAGATTGGAATCGGACATTCTAGACATGTAATTTAATCTCACTGTTCAGTCTCAATTCCTACAGCTTTTAAATAAAGATAATCGTATTATCAACATTGTAAGATTGTTATGATTAAATGAGATATTGCATACAGAGCACTCCCAACATTATCTGAGTCACCTTACAAGATCAAAAAAATGATAGCTATTATCCCAAGAAAACAAAGTAAAAAATGTTCACCATGTGTTAATTCATTTTGAGGTTTTTCTTGTTTTCTAATGATCCAAATGACCCTTTTCACTTTTTGGAAAATTATCTTTCTCAGGACAAAGGTAGATGGAAACAGAGATAAGTAATCCAAAGGACATTAGTGTGAGTATGGAATTAGAGCAAAGGAAGTCGGTCCTCTTTACATATACTTGGAAAACATGATTTACTATGAAACTAAAAGTGCAGTAAACAAATTAATAACAAATTATTATAAGATAAACACCTAAACAGCTATTATTTAAGTAAAGAAATGGAACTTCACCAACTCCTGCAGAAGCCCTCCCCCCGCCCCAACACACACACACACACACACAAACCTCATATCCTCTCAATCGCGATGCCCTCCACATCTGCCTTCCCCAAGGTAATCATAATCCTATCTTTTATGGCACTACTTTCTTACTTTTCTTACTGTTATCACAAAGGATATATCCTTAAATATTATATTTATTTCTGTCTGTTATCACACTTCATGGAAATGTAAATATACAATGAATACTCATTTGTGCATGGCTGCTTTCATGTAATATTATGGCTGTAAAATCCATTCTTAATTTTCATATATTTGTAGTTCAGTTTTTCACTGTTAAATTATTATATGAATATAACAAAAATTAGTTATGCTTTCTACTAATAAGGGACATTTGGGATGTTTCCAGTCTTGGCTATTACAAATAAAGCTATAATAAACATTCACGTATGCATCTTTCAGTACACACGTGCATGCATTTCTATCAGGTATGGACCTAGGAGAAAAACTGCTGATTCACATTGTTGAATTCATAAAGTTGAACTGCTGATTCATAAAGTTGAAAATGCTTCTTTTCTACTTCAGCAGTATGTCGATCTTGACTTAGAGGAGAGCCTACTGCGTACAGACAGGCCCTGTTGCGATTTCTGGTGTCTTATAAGGTGCCATGGAACGCGGTTCTGTATAGACGGAATCTTCTTGGTTACTGATTCTTGGTCTGTGCATTAAAAAATGACACATTTTGTCATAGTATATGGCATGAAAGACTACACTCTTCCCAGCATGCACGGGTCTCAGGCACCGCCTGTATCTGACCTCACATAGATACTCCTTTATCTAAATTCTGGTATTCAGAATGCAGCCAATTATTGCCACGCCCATTTACAGGGCATTTCTGTTTCTGTTTGGATTTAGACAGAGGGGAGCACAGGTGAGGCGGGGCAGAGGTTGCAGGACGTGACTCTGGGCTGCTGAGAAGACTGCCCCTGCTGAGAAGGGCAGTGGATGCCTAGTTTCCTTCACTGTGTGGCCCTGAAGCCCAAAGGTAAGGACAAACTATAGGCGAAATTGGTCCAACTCTAGGAATTTGGGAGGCCATCTCGCTGATTTCAGGTAATAGGCCAAGTGTCTGTGTTCCGGCTTGTGTTCCTTAATCCTATCCTTCCATATCTTCAAATAATGAAGATCGTTTTCATTAGCTTACAGTGTGGTGCTTGTTTTTGTGTTTCTGTATCTTCTTTTGGCAATCTTTAAGGGAAAATTAGCAGGTAGACCAGATCTGTTAGTCTGAGGCCGTTTTACTCAGAAGTTCAAGACTTATACTCCTTAATTGCAGACATATCTAAACAGTCCTGGTATGTGACTTTATTTCAGAGTTAAAATCATTTCACAAAATAGCTCTTGTTAGTGACCCTATCATAGAGAAACAAAAAGGCTTTTTAATTTTTTTCCATTTCAGATAAATGTGAAAGTTTTGTTGAGAAAATCACATATTTACAACAACAAAAACAAAACCTATTAAAAACAAACTAACAGAAAACACATCATACAGTGTGTTTCAGAAAAAATTCCACACATGGGTAGAAATTTAGTAAGTGCTGCTGAATTAAAATTCTGCTTTTTTTTTTCTGTCAAAATTTTCCTTTTAAAATAGAACTTGTAAGAGAAGAATATTTTAATTTTCTAAGTATCCTCGGGGATAAAATAGCATATTAATACATATATATATATATATATTTAATGCATCTAGCTTAACTTAAAATATGCCAGAAATATAATTACTATGCAAATTTTCCTATGCAAATCATCTTTAATTATGAGTCTTAGGAACCCAGCCGTGGTCTTCACTTGCTGATGAGAACCTGGCCAGAACCTCAACCCTGCCTCTAGTCCACATGGTCTGCAGAAATACAAACGCTTTCTACAGCAGTTACTGTGGAGTTCTACTACCTGATGGCAGAATCTCTAAGTGATAATAGTTCCGCTCCCATTACAATCTGCCAAAGAAAACTGCTATTTGAGAAAAGAATTAGTAAAGTAATATTTAAAGAAATAAGAATACTAACATAAGCTAAGCAGAAACCAACCACCTTCAGCACACTTTGCATATATTAACACATTTCATGCTCACAAAAACTGAGAGATAGGGACTATTTTTCCCATTCCACAGGGGCTGAAATTGAGGCAGACTTTAAAATAAATGGACCGGTCTTGACAGTCTTTACATATTCAACTGCTTATGAGATATAATGCCAAAGGGCACCGGATTGCTCTTATGATTACTAGCAAAGTTGCTGCTTGTGGAAATACATTTACTACTGTTATTTTTTTTAAACATAATAAAATTATTAAATCATTTTATATATACTACAGATATATAAAATGATTGATTCAATAGTCATAACTATAGCTAATAATTATCAAAGATTTCCATATGCTAAGCATTTAGCGAAGGAATTATATATACCAATTAATTTAATGTTCATAAGAAGCAGATCGGTCAGTTCTATCATTAGCCCAGTGACTTCTAGGCAACAGCGCCCGAGGTCACTGAGCCAGTCAGATGTAGTGTGGACTAAAATCCAGGTAGTCTGAGTTGAAGCACCAGCTCTTAAGCGCCGTATTTCACAATCCCTCTGTTCAATGGGAGGCCATTCCTATTTTCATTTTACTATCTGCACCGCTGGCTCTTGTTGTGTATTACGTGAGTATATTTCCTACGTGTGGCATGCTGCTGATTCAAAATCATTACTGACCATGGAATTCAATCAATTGACAATAAGGTGTTGATTTCATCTTCCCCCAGAGGCAGTTTCTGATATCTTGGCAACAACTCCTCCATGATGTGATTCACGTGATTGGCTTACTATTTAGCA